CCGCACAGCCGTGATGATCACACCGACGCTGTCGAGGGCTCGACATCGCTTGCCTGCATGCGGCAGCAGGGAGGCCCGCGGCGCGGCGGTCTGCTGGGGAGAGGCGCGAGAGGCTGACGCCCCCCGCGCAGCAAAGGGCGGTGGGTGGCTACGATAGCAGGCTCTTTGCCTTGTGTGAAGTTGGGTGCCCTGTGACGCGCCAGAAAAGAAAAACGTCGGCGAACCTCGTCGCTATCAGCTATCGACCTACCGTGTCCTAGACCCCCTGGCTGGGTGTCTTCTTCCGCAGCTTTCATCCCTCGCCTCGGTCGCCCTGACCCTCCCTCTCGGCAAGCCGAGGGCCCAACTTGAGAATCGTGCTTTTTGAGTGAAGGAAGTCACTAATTCAACAAACAAAAAGCCGCGCGCGGCAGCGTTGACCGCACGGCCTACTCGCCCAAGTACTCGCTCTCTTTTATGTCCCACCATGCAGAGCGCATCTCTCTCTCTGTTGTGCGAGGCGTGAACCGCGCCCCATTCGCTCTCACCTGGCAACCCTGTCTGCACGTCTCGCGCGCGCGTGAACAAGGCTCCAGGCCCCAAATGACGTGTGAGTGTTAGAGTTGTTTGGTATTGCTAAATCTCTCTCTCTCTAATTCAAACAAATTATTGCTCTCTCTGAAGTCTGAGTGAAGGATCTCAAAAAGTGAAGGTTCCTCACGTGAAGGGCCACACTCGGGCTCGGAGGTGCAGACCCCAACAAATAATTTCGCGCCGCCTCGCCGCGCGCCGCTGCTGCCCTCGCCAGCAGCCGCCGCGGTTGCAGCGCCATCGTCCGGACACTGGCGGGGCGACTTGCCAGAGTGCGGGTGGGCAAGCCCTAAAACGGCGGGAGGGGTAGGGGTGCCGCTGTAGGGGTGTGGAGGGGTCGGGAGGGCGGGAGTGCGGACCGTGACCTGCACCTGGTGTCCGCACTGCCGCATGGACCATGGTGCGAGCCGCCACTCACAATCATAAAAAAACCAATGCGCCAAAGAACTGAGACGCAGATTCTTTGCACCGGTAGCAGGCAGGCAGTGCAAGGTCAAGAGGTCGCGGCACTGGTCATTCGCGATGCGGTAGGCGATGCGATCAGCCGCCGGCAAGCGGCGGTGAAGCCTGGTCATGGCCGGGCAGGCGCGCCGCAGGCGATGCGCTCTCGCGGGGGCCTTGCGTCGTCCCACCTCGAGCCCTCGGCAAGGGCACGTTCACGGGCGTACGTTTACCTCCCCTCACGTGGGCTCCGTTTACCTCTACCTCCGGCGGTCTGAGACAGGTTTCGTTTACCTTTACCTGAGGCCCCCCACGCCAGCCCTAGCCCCCTACGGGGTGTGGACCCTGAGTTGCCACCAGGGGTTGTGCGCTGGGCCCTCCTGCTCGGCTCCAGCCAGTAGACAAGTCTTGTCATCAACAGAGTAGAAGGATCTGACCTCGGGGCCGATGTGACCAAGCGCTGGTAGCGTGGTTTTACCTCACACCCATGGTCTCACAGTGTGCCGGCAGTCGCCGAGCAGTGTCGCTCACACAAGCCGCAGCACAAGTGACTGAGGGCCAGTGAGGGCGAGCCCATCGCTGTGACAGCTGTGGCAGCCGCACAGTAGGCTGTGCCAACTCGCAACTGTGCAGAGCGTGTGAGCAGCAGAGGAGCTGCTCTCCAGGCTTCTGTCGCAAAGAGCTGCATGCCACCGAAGGCGCTGTCGAGGTTCGCCGAGCGTGGCGCAGGTTGGAGGACACCGTCACTGACGAGCGCGTTGGACTTTTCACTCCGGACAAAGACCGCTGCACAGCGGACGGTACTGGCCGTGCAGCGGTCATATCGGCGAGGCGCGGGACCGTCTGTGGCGAGGTGGGTCGCGTCCCTCGATTTCCACCTCAACTCACACGGAGACACGGTCCACACCAATATTTTTACCTCTACCTGCGGCTGCGCCCCCGCCCTCCGCGCCTGGCCGAGGCCTTCCCCTTGCGAGTTGCGTTGCCGCCAAGGGGCCTTGGGGCTATATACACTGTAGTACAGTCGTACACCGGTACAAGGCTTCCTAAGCTCCTAGCGTAGGACGGCGAACACGCGCCCGGCCGGCCAGGCCATACGCATACCAGTACCACATGCCAGTCGTACGCAAGTGTATCCACCTCTCACCACACCACCCTCAAAGGAAACACCTCACCGTACCTTTGAGTACCCCGGCTGAGTACCGCCGGCTGCGCATCATGCACTGATGCGCGCGCGGCGGAGGTCAACGACCGTCTGTACAGGGCGCGAGGCGGGTCGGGCCCCCACCCGTGCCACACGCGTTCAAGAAGAGTTTTGGGACTGCCGCGGCCTCGCTCCCCCTCAGGCGGGAAGCTCGGAACGCCGCAGCTCGTCTGCGAGGATCTGCATCTCGACTCGCAGCCGCGCCACGTCGACGCGCTCCTCGCCCGCCGCGGCCGAGCCGCCCGGCAAGGGAGGAGGCGGCGCCGCCGCCGGCGATAGGAAGAAGGGCTGCTCGCTGTCGGCTCGCTCGACCAGCTGCGGTGCGAGAGGTGTGCGCAGCCGCGAGAGCTTGGCCGGCGGCAGCAGGGGCGTCGCCGCGGGCGAGAGGAGCGGCGAGACGCGCTCGGCGGCGGTGGGCGGCAGCAGCGGCGAGAGCATCTGCTCCGACGTCGAGTCTGAGTCCGCCGAGGAGCTCCGCGCCCGCGCCTGCGCCGTCGCGGGGACACGCTGAGCGCGCATCGGCCCGGCGCGCGCGTCGATCTTCCCCTCGGCCCTCATCTCGAGCAGCTCGGAGAGGACGGCGCCGCAGAGCGGGCGCGCCTCGGGCGCGAGGGAGAGCAGCCGCGCCACGAGCCGTGCGAGGCGCGGCCGCCGCGCCGCAAACTCGCGCGGCACCTGCCCCTGCCTCAG